GTTGTGAGTTATTTTCTTAACTTCTTTTCCTTGAATATTAATTCTTCCTTTAAATACTATTCCTATATCAATGTTGGGGAGTGTTGCTAAGATGACAATTAGTTAACATCTTGACATTGGTCTTAGTAATAGCTATTCCTTCCTCTATGTTAATATTGGGGAGTGTTACTAAGATGACAATTAGTTAACATCTTGATATTAACTATAGTAGGATTCATCTTCTTTAATATTATTCCTTGAGTATTAATTAATTCCTATTCATATTTCATATTAATATTTTGAGCATTACTTAAAGGATCAACTAGTTTTGTTTCATATATTAATTACTACTAGAAACGATCAACGAACCGATGGTTAATCGTTGATGGTTTCACAAGTAAGTAACTTCGGTCTATTAATGCACGGTCGTGGTTTATAGACTTAAGAGGAATTAATTGTGTTGGTTAAACCAAAACCGCTTGTGTTGAGGTTATCGATCTCAATTGATTTCATCAAGGAGTTAAGCGATTAAATGCTACTATCAAGTCGGTATACGGCGTTGTTCTATACTTGACTAATAGTAAGGGTTATTAATGAACGGTCGTTGTTAATAACTATCCTCGATGAATTGGATATACTCCTCGATTGAGTATTCGAGAGGAGATGAGTTATAGATATAACAATGATCGACTAAAATATATCAACAAGTGGAAAGTAGCAATGCCAAGTCACTTTTATCTTTGAATTAAACCACATAACTCGTTCATCTTCGTGTTTAATTTTAATCAAATCACTCGATCAAAACCCCCTTTTATTTACTATTTACATAAAAAGATAAATTATTCCTTTCCCTGTGGATACGAACTCTACTTCACCTATACTACGTATAAGTGTTAGTATTGAATTTACTTTGAGTGCACTCACGACAAAGTGCACGTCAACCCACTTGGCCTATGCGGACGATCTTATGCTCTTTTCGAGAGGAGACAAATATTCCATCGGAATATTGGTTGATGCTCTTAAAGAGTTTGGGGACGTATCGGGCCTAAGGGTTAACCATAATAAATCTAATATTTTCATCAGAGGGGTTAACAGTTTGGATTTGCATGGTATATTAGACCTCGTTGACTTTGATCATGGAGTATTCCCGGTGAGTAGGGGTGCAAACGAGCCGAGCCGAGCCCGATTTTCTACAGGCTCGAGCTCGAGCTCGAAATATATAGCATCGGCTCGAGCTCGGGCTCGGCTCGAACGAGCCTACAAAATCGCGGCTCGAACTCGACTCGCAGAAGGCTCGGTTCGACTCAGCTCGGCTCGAGGCTCGATAACCATTATGATGCTCCATAATGAGTCCGTAGTAAAAATTCACTGTCATCGGCCCATTCTAAGTTTTTCTACTGAGTAGTAACGACCTAAGCCTAAAATATTATAAAATTTTACTAATCAGCATATATTATATACTCCCTCCGTCCCCTTTTAAATGTCCCGTTTTACCATATTGGGATGTCCCTATTTAATTGTCTCATACCTTATTTGGTAAAGTTTGTGTGGTTCAAAATTATTTTTACTTTATTCTTACTTTATCAATTAATATCAATCACACAAACCCACTTTTTTTAAAACTCGTGTCATACTCTTCCGAGACATTTAAAAGGGGACGGAGGGAGTATATCATATATATTACTCCGTACATTATAACAGTATACATTATATATTAATTAATATTGCATAGTAATATATTATATATGATTATATAATATATATACATATATATTATAAATATTCACATATAAAATTAGGCTCGCGAGCCGGCTCGCGAGCCAGCGAGCCTAAAATTAGAAGGCTCGAGCTCGGGCTCGACTGCTTAACGAGCCGGCTCGAGCTCGGCTCGAGCTCGAATTTGACCGATCCCGATTCGAGCTTTGACCGAGCGGCTCGCGAGCGGCTCACGAGCGGCTCGGCTCATTTGCACCCCTACCGGTGAGATACCTTGGTATCCCACTTGCGCCTTTAAAAATTTCCGTGGCCCAATATGCGCCACTTCTGAATACGGTAAATGATTTCTTAAACACTTGGAACACCAAGACGATTTCCTATGCAGGTAAACTTGAGCTAATACGATCTGTGATCCAAGGGGTCCAGTCGTTTTGGCTCCAAGTGTTTCCGGTACCTCAAACTGTTCTGAATAGGATTGTCTCGATTTGCCGTATTTTTTTATGGGGTGGCAAATTTGCAAAGGTGGCGTGTGACGATATTTGCCTCCCTAAAGAGGAAGGGGGACTGGGCATTCACAATGCAAAGATATGGAATCATGCCCTACTTGCTCGCACCCTTTGGGATGTACATCTAAAGAAAGACACGCTCTGGGTGCGTTGGGTGAACGGTGTCTACCTCAAGGGTAGAAACGTGTGGGACTTTGTCCCACACACCCGGGACTCTCAGCTCATGAAGCGATTGAGTCTCATTAGAGATAAGATTCGGGGTTGTTTTAATAATTTGAATGATACGATTCTTGGCCTTAATGCCCGTTCCACGAATGGAAAATTAACCTCCGCTAAAATCTATGATTTGTTAAGAGTTAGGGGTAATGTCAGGACTCCTATGAGTTTCATATGGAAATGCTACATCCCCCCCAAACTATCTTTTAACGTATGGTTGGCTTTAAGAAACCGGCTTCCTACCCAGGATAGCCTTGGTTATCTACACATTGTGAATAGGTGTGACCTATGCAAGGGTGGTTTAGAGACAATACCACACCTCTTTTTCCTTTGCCCCTTTACTTGTGTAGGGTGTGGCAGCACATAAGGAACTGGATGGGACTCGGGCATGAAATGACTACCTTGCTAAGTGCCATTAAGTGGATCACGAAGACTCATAAAGGATCGACGCTGAAGGCAAAAGCAGTCCGTCTAGCTTTCTGCGCTTCGGTCTACTATATCTGGCATGTAAGGAATGAGCTACATTTTGATGGAGGTTTGAAGACGGAAGCTGATGTGATTTCTAAGGTCAAACATGTGGTGTATAAGATCCTTTATAACTTATACCCACACGAGTTGATTAACTTTTGATGGGAGAAAGTGATCGCCTCTTCAAAGCCGCGGCATCATCTTTTGGGACTGTGTGTGTGCACCTTGCAACACCTTGAGTTTATGGCTGGGCCAAGGGGAGTGTACACTATAACCTCCTATTGGCTGTTTCTCTTTTTTGGTTGTTGTATGTTTTTCATGTTCTATGTGTGTGCACCTAGCAGCACTGATTGGTTTTTCCTGTATGGTTTGGGGCATTTAGTATTCTATACGTGGGCCCCTTTTGATTTTTGTTTAGATCGAATAAAAACCTCTCCTAACCCCTACACTAGGTAGGGGTGGGGGTGGGGGTTTAGGAGATCTAGAACCATTTGATGTAAATTTTCTTGGGTGTAAATATATATTTACATTTCATCCAAAAAAAAAAATACCCAACCCAAAAACTTAAAAAAAAAATTAAAATAAATAAATAAATAAATAAATTGGCCCGGACCGGGCCCAAACCGGCCGGGCCGGTTCACCTTTTGAGGGGCCCGAGCCCGGACCGGAACCCCAGCGGGTCGGGCCTACCCGGACCGGTCCCTGGCCGGGCCGGCGGTTCGGGCCGGTTCAAACAGTAACCGGTTAACCGTTTCGGGCCGCCCGGCCCAAGTCCAGGCCTAGTCGCGGTGATGAGAGTCGCAATGATGAGAAGTGTGTATGCAACCTTCATCTTACTTGCACTTTCACTTGAAACCCCATTCCGGCTTGGAGAAATTTCTGATGGAGGTTTTAAGTGTATCTATGAAACAAGCTACTCTACAAGAGTACAATTATACAGGTTATGTATTAATGCCCAAGGATTGTAGCGTCACAGATATACATTTTCTGTTCCAGTTAGAGGCTTGACAATTTTGGCGCTCATATAAATTTGTTAGATATAGCTATATGAGTGTGTTAGTTAAATTCTGTCTCAAAACATTTTTTGCGACAATTGCACTGTATTGAATTTTCCTCTTACAGGTTGAGAATCAATGCTGAAACTGCTGTATTTATGCACAACTATGGATGTTTTCTTTTGGACTGTTTTCAGTCCCAGACCAGAGCAGACCAGATCAGACCAGACCAGACCAGACTTAAACAGACCAGACCAGACTTGGATAGTTATAAAATACACAGAGACCAGACGTTTACCAGACCAGTTCAGACCAGACCAGATTTAAACAAACCAGATCAGACCAGACCAGACTAGCAAATTTCAGTCCAAAAGAAAACATCCTCTTTCATAATTTTAGTGTATTGTTTTTTTTTTCAATAGAAATTGGTCTCTGCATGTGTACAAATCAATTTGACGTGCCACATATCCGTATTTTCTTCTATATTCATGGTTGACATAAAAATATGTTTCTTAAACATTGAGCAGCTCAGGAATTAGAGAAAGAAATTCATGGGCCATCAGGCGATTCTCTTCCAGCAGAAAAGAAACTTTGTGTATTTGACAAGATATTTGCAGCATATCGTGAAGCCAGAAGCAGCATTCGTGGTGATTTGGTGAGAACAATACAATTGTGCATACCGATCCTTATCAAATGGTCTCTGTTGCTCCAAGAACTTTAGTTCATAACCTTTTTATGATACTATTGATTTGGAAGAGCACGATGCTATTTTATATGCATAACTCTTGAAACTGATGCCAGTTTATACGGTTATTCAGGTTACTGCAGCTAATTCTGATAAGGATCGGTAGGTATATGTGCATTATAACTAGTTTGCACCACATTGACTGCCTTTAATGTTGGATTCTCTTGGATAATATATCATTGATGAATCTTGGCTCTACTTGGTCAAGAGAATATTTAAAGTATTAAGGAAAATTTTAAATGGCACATATGCTGCAATATTTTGAATTGTTGTTACCTTTATCTTTTGGATTTATGGGTGATATAATTGATATTTTTCCGTTTTTGGTCAATTAACTTGTGATTTATTGTGCACCCCCCACCCCGTGCCAAGCAGGTGATAGTCAATGAGCTGAAAGTGTTATCCAGTGAGAGTAGATCCAATGGCTGTATAGAGCATGCGAGAGGAATTATGGAGCTAGAGAAGGCTTCAGAGAATCTCTCGAAAAACATATCAGCTATTTCATTAAGTGGAAATGAGAAAAAGGTTCTTCCTCTTGTAGAATTATGTTTTATCCCTTTTGTACATCAATTGTCCATGAATTTATTTAATCGAATTAGCTGTGCAGTGTTAATATATTACGAAGGTGTCTGCTTTTAGCCCTTTTTCTGGATTAATGTTTGAGCTCGACCGATTAGTGTATATACAACCTGTACCTTACTTGCACTTTCACTTGAAACCCCATTTCAGCTGGAGAAATTTCTGATGGAGAAATTGGACTGTTATGAATCTGCGGTTGGCGAGTATTCCAACAACAGGAAAGCAGCCCCTGCTCGCATTGAAGTCTTTCCACCTGCCTTCCAGGCAGTGCCCTGCAACCCAATTTTGTTGGATCTGGCATATGATTTCATTGAGTTCCCTTCACTTGATAGTAGGATTAGGAAAGACAAAAAGGGCGGCGGTAGCACCAGCTTCCTTACCAGATTTTGGGGTTGAGTTCGCCGTATCTCTCTGCCATCCCTTTAGTTTTTGGTTGGGATTGAGTATTACTACTATTATTTATGTATTCATGCAAGCCATGATTTTCCCTTTCTCCAACTACATACAGGCATATAGCTTTGTTTATTTTCTATTTTCCCTTTCTCCATCAATAGAAGTTTTTGTTGCTTGTTTTTTTAAACAGGATTATTGTTATAGTAAATGAGAGTTGTTCTTTTTAACTCTGGTAAAACTTAAAAGCGTGGACTTTTGGCTTTTTATGGTTGAAGTTGGTACCCTTTTTTTTTTAAATCTTTTTGTCCAGCACGTACAGCTCAAACCTCTTTACTTTTTAATTTGTAGAAGTGTTTAAATCTAGCTGTTAATATCTTTTTATGAAACATTATCAATATGAAAGAAAGATTAACAGGAAATGGACTCATGGCAAGATGGCATGCACAAGAACTTGGTTCTTTGTCCAACCAAATATGAAGAATGGATGTACTGCTAAAGTATCTATTACTCCTATTAGAAAGGCTAAATTGGACAGAGATTTATAGCGATAGGTGAATAGGTGATTAGCTCAATCGGGATGTCAACTAGAGCTTTGGTGAATGTGTGAGACGAAGAAATCAAATTATGAAGAGTGCAAACCTTGACCTAGTTTTGAAACTTTTTGGTGCATATAATATAGAAAATGAGTTTCCCAGGATTGTTTGCTTCAAGGTAGGGGTGGACTCGGGCCGGGCGGCCCGACCCGGAACCGGCCCGGCCCGGTTACTGTTTGGCCCGGCCCGGCCCGGCCCGGGGCCCGGTGGGTCCAGCGGTTCGGTTTGGCCCGGCCCGGGTGATGGGCGGTCCGGGCTCGGGCCTTCCTTTAGGTGAACCGGCCCGGCCGGTTCGGGCCCGGTTCGGGCCGGATTTTAATTTTTTTTATTTTTTTTTTGAAATTTTCTTAAGTTTTGGGTTTGATTAGGTATTTCGGGCCATTTGAGGTGGTTTGGGGTGGTTTGGGGTTGAGGGGGAGGGGTAGGGGGTCAAATAGAACCAAAATAAAAAATATATATATATGGACCGGTTTGGCCCGGAACCGGAACAGGCCACCGGCGGCTCGGGCTCGGGCCCTAGTTTTCTGGCCCGAGGCCCGAACCGGGCCCGAGGCCCGAACCGGGCCCGAACCGGCCCGAGTCCAACACTACTTCAAGGGAATCAAGGGAGGTTGCATTAGCCTATTGGGAATTGGGAATGTTTAATTGATATATGACCGTATGCCAAAATGTTTGTTTGAATATGATTGAATTTAGTTATTTTGAAGGTGAAACCAAAGAAAGTATGCCAAAATGTTCGTTATTGTTGCGATTGAGAGACTTGTTTTCAATTAGGCAGCCATTTTTATCTATCCCAATAAAAGCCCCTCTTTCCGTCTCTTAAAACTTTGTCAATTTTCCCTTTTTTGTTTCCTACTAATTTTGTCACTTTTCCTTTTAAGTAAGAAATTTGTGGTTTCATTTAATTTTCCCTTCTGCACAAACATCAATTATACAATTTTTACTTTATTAATTGTCGTGCTGATCAAACTTGGGCAATTTTTAAGGAATGGAAAGGTTACAATTTTGTCCCCCCATCATCATTACCTTAGTGCCTCAAAGGCTCTCACCTACGGATGGGTGAGGGGGTCGGATGTAAGCTCATGTACTAAAGCACAGAGAGGCTGTTTCTGGATGATTCATAGTGAAAATCGCATCAAAAATTGCATGGACTGACTGGTGTGCTTCATTATATAGAAGATCGGACAATTTAGTGAACCATTTTGCTTTACTCAATCATGTTCCAAAGCTAAAAAATGGTGAACCTTTGGCTCCATTGCAAAGATGGAAAACAATTTTGTCCTAACTATGGGCAAAAATTGACCTCATGGAAATTCACCATTTATTTCTTAACTCTTATTCCACCTACTCCTAAATGTCTCTTGTTTTCTTCTATGCGGTGTGTGTATTGTTTGTTTCCCAATACCTTTTCCAAACATTCCCAGCTTTAGAATTTAATTAGGTGTATAGGTGGCGAGCTTGTATTGAATTTAGAATGTGAAGATCTAGTTATTTTAGAAATCATGTTTTATTTTAGAATTCCTAAAATATGGATATTCATTTAATTTTTGGAGGCTCAAATTGTTTGTCTTGGCAGGTGCTTTTGCTTGGCAAAATCCTAGTTAAGACTTAATCTTATACCTTGTTCTCTCGAGCTCGCTCTTTAGCTGATGATACATTGAAGAAACTTTACGATACGAATATTTATGATCAACATGTATATGTGCATTATAACTAGTTTGCACCACTTGGTCAACAAACCCTAATGCATCAATCTTACTAGAGAGAAGATTGGGTCATGAAGGACTTATTCCTGCAGTCATCAGAACACCTAATGCTTCATATAGTTCTCTCAATAAAGTAGTGCAAACTTTTTAAATAAAAACAAAAAACAAAAACAAAAAATAACTGTAACACAGCTTATCAGGTTTTTGAGTTGTGTAACATAAGCTATCCCACTAATGAAGATCGAAGAACATAAGAAGGCAGGCCACCCATGGGTAACCTGACAGGGAGGTACACACGCAAGGAGAAGCCGCCATGGTAGTAGGAGAATTTTCAATGAAATGAGTGCAGTGCAAAGGCACATGTTATCCACTTTCCTTGATTTTGCAAGCTCTACCTGTTCCGTATTGAAGGATATAAATATAAGCCAAATGCAAATTACGTAAACACATAAAAAAGGGAAAGGAGTCAAATAGGCCCTTCTACAATTATAGACACGTCATCTAAACCCACTTACAAAAAAACCATCACATAAACCTGTTTACTCCAAAAAATGGTCAACCCAACCAATTTACCGGAGAGAACCCTCCATAGCCGGTCAATTGCTAATTCATACAGACTAATATTTTTCTATTTTTCTTTATTAACTTTTTCTTTTCTTTTTTAGTCTGTTTCATCCAGCTTCCCTCTTCAAGATCGGCAAGGAGGGATTTCCCAGTCGGCGGTCTTCGTCACTGATTTGGGAGATTTCACAAGAGACAAAATCAGTGATTCCGTTGTAGAGCAGAGAACTTCACTCCTCCCTTCTTCGACTACCAGGCGTCGTGGTCCTTGTTGCAGCACAGTGAGAAGAGAAGGGGCTGCTTCCATGGGGACGACTCTGAAGGACGGCGTCATTGGACTGCTCTCAAGTCTTCGATTAGAGATGGAGAGTACGGACTTACTGATTTCTTTCCTTGGATTCAGAATTAGCGGCTTTGGAGCTCCTCATACCTGCGACCGGAGAGATTTCACGATAAGGTTTGTGGGCGGCAAACTGAGTCAGGGAGGTGGTGTCCATTGGCAGTAGCATATGGTGTGTCGGTGGGAAATGGTGGCCAGAGCATTGACGTACTCACGGTTGCTGCTACTTAAGTTGATTTATGTAAATTAAAGTAAAGGCAGAAATAAAAAGTAAAGAAAAAGATAATGAAAGAAGAGTACGAAAAAAATAATAAAGATGAAGACAAAGGGAAGAGGGATGGAGAGCTGAACCAACAACAAGAGTAGGACATATCACATATCAGAAACAACAAGTGACCGGCTAAGAAGTAAGAATAAACGGGTTTATGTGATGCTTTTTTTAGTACATTGGTTTAGATGACCGATCTACAATTGTAGAAGGATCTATTTGACCCTTTATCCAAACAAAATTAAATATTGAAGGGACCAAACTATGAACATGAAAGTTTGGTAGTTGGTAACTTGGTACTACATAAGCATTTCTAAATGAAATGAAGATAATCAAGAGCCAGGATACAAAAAGTAACATATTGTTGGTCATCTAGAGAGGGGGTATAACAAAAGTTATGGCATCCTCTTGCTATCGACATCTATTATTAAATAACACTCCCAGCATTAAGGGTATGTTTAGATCGTAGACAATGCTACTGGGGAAAGGGGGGAATAAAAAGTTACTTTACGTTTCACTGTAGCTGTGAAAACGCATTGCAAAATTAAATGTGATTATTTTTACTTAAAACTTTCATATTTTCAGATTCTTTCTTTATATAATAAATGAAAATCTCACTTTTGTTCCCCACGACTATTAGGTCATTCCAAGTTTTGATCCCCAATTTTCATTTTTTCACTCATGGTCCTTTCCGGCGGCTTGTCTAGTGAAAATCAACCGCTTCAAAAATTGACCTGATAAGTGGCCAAACTCAGGACCATAACTCCATAAGTGATTAAAAATCTACAATTTGCGGGACCAAAACTTGAAAAATGAAAGTTGGGATCAAAAGAGAGAATTGCCTAATAAGTGATGGGACCAAAGCTGAATAATTTCACAATAGTCATAAATAAATAAAATGTGTATCAACAAATACTTGAGATCCATTTAGAGAGTTTTATCTCCTCTTAACTTTCCTTAACATTTCTTCCTTTCTTTCCGATTCTTTTCAAAAACTTCTTTCCTAATCCAACTATCTCATTTTGTAAGATACACTTTCAATAGTTTGAGACATTGAACTCAGCTACTTTACTCTTTTATCAATCACTTCCCCTTTTATGTTTTGTAGACCGATACTACTTGTTCTTCCCACTTTATTTTCTTAAAGCTCAAGCTAGACAGACCCTAATAAAAGGCAGAGGGAAGAATAGTACCACAAATGCATTGACAAAATGTTGCTTTCAGATTGTGAAGATATCAAATTCATTGACAACTTGGCAATATCTGCCCAGGCAACTCTGCAAATGATTCAGCAGCATCTGCACCAGACAATACTTAATTAGGCCAACCGCAACTCAGCTCCGTCAATAAATTAAATCCCCCATCAGTTTATATGTATTCACTCAGTCAACTCGGTTAATTAAGTTTTTACTGCAATCCAGCACCGCCAATATATTCACCCAACAAAATTCTTCTTAACTAAAATCTTACTTTTTTTTTATTATAGATCATTTTTTTTAATTTATATTTTTGTGAATAATTATGATTTAAAAAATCAAACATTCCGATGTAAAAATACATAAATTTGAAGTTTAATTTTTTTAATGTCACTTCAGACCTATTTTAAAAAAATGAAAGATGTAAAATACATGAGATCTTAATTTTTTAGCTTTTGAATTTATTTAAGAAACATTTTGGGTCGGAAAACCTACAACAGTTGAAACTTCATATTTTTCTATTTACTTTATATATGCAATATTGGCGTCATATGAAAGATCATAAAAAGTTATGAATGTTGATATTTTTGTAAAAATTGGAGTACAAATAAAAAAGTTATTACGCTTTCAAAAACTGGGATTTAAACTTTGCATGGACCCACTGCTTATTCCTTATGTGGCCAGTCAGCTGCTGCCTCACTCCGTGAATAGCCTATCTAATTTGCCTCCCAAGGGTGCCCCCAACCCACGTTGCCACTTTGGCACCCTTACATACATAGGGTTGGAGTAATTTTTGGGGTGAAAAGCTCAAATATGACTTATTCACCCCAGGGTTGCAGACAGTCTTAGCATGACCTGTAAAAGTCATTCTTTCAAAAGAAAGCTTATACTATATCGAAAAGGTAGTAACTCAATGCAGTAGAAGTTGTCGGGAAGAGCTTAATATTCATTTTGCTTGTACACAGCTTTTCGTAATAGTTAAGTTGTTGCTTAATCCTCATAAAACAATGTTACCAAATGCTTCTCCTCTCGCAAATTCAGTCATTTCAGCCTAACAACTCTTACAAGATGGGCCCAGAGTATCGTTATACTATTAGTTTCAAATTAGTGATAACTAATAGTAGCAAATTATTCAATCTAAAATGAAACTTCTTGCTTTCAGAAATTACCTGTCTTGTGCCCTGAATGGATGGAGAAAATATCAACAATTTTCCCACTTGTCTTCATCTCCATCATTGACTGACTTCGAGCACTTCTCTTGATCTGTAAGTCCATGAGACCATGAAAATGATATTTGGCTATTAAAGCTAAGCACTCCTAAAAGACGGACCCTATTAAATGAGAAAATCATCCATTTAAAAGGCAGAGCGAAGCACGGGATATAATTGTTTTCATATTATATGTACATTAGGTTTTAGAGAAGTGATAATAATATAGATATATTTACGTTGTTTAAAGCAAGGTGAAATTTGCATATGTTGTATACATTAAAATAAACTTATATGGAGTACTTTTTTTAAAGGATACTTTATTCTTTCTTATTTATCGCAATAGTTAATTTGGCTATTAAAGCTAGCCTTAAATGGATGATTTTCCCATGTATAACAATCCCAAATATTTAAAAATATACTAATAACTATTTTGCATGTGTGGAACAAAGTTTCATATATAACTTTGTTTCCTCATTGTGTCTGTTTCTGGGTTCAAAAATTATACGGAGTACTTCGTACTATGTAGTTTAGAGGTCAAACAATAGAACATACTCTAAAGATTACATCTTATGAATAAGACTTTGTACACTAAAGATTTCGTAATTTATTTATAAATTTGCTTAAATTGAAAACTATATATTTAGTTTGGTTAAATATGTTAGGTTATTTATTTTATTTTATATGCTAACAAACCAGGAAATAATGGATTATATTATATTGTAGCTAAGGCTATAATATAAGCATAGCATATTTTATCTAGTATAAGCCATTAATTAGAAGATTTTGGCACCTCTTAAATGTATTTGAGAGCGAGTGTCTTCTATGTAAGTGTGTTATGTGAAAGAACGAAATCTCAAACTCTCAAATACTTTCTTATTGGTAGTAGCATAGATCACATCATAAAGTCACATATTCTAAACTGTGAATCATTGTAAACGCTGCTACTGAGGAAGCGGTCCAGCTCATCTGGTCACCGACTTACTCTCCCTTATGGGAGGTCCCGAGTTCGAAACTCAATGGAGTGAGTTTCAACCCAGTTTACTCCAGGCTCCCCAAGACCCCCTCCCCCAGAAGCCCCCTGGAGTTAAAACAAAAAAAAAAGTATGATGAAAATGATGATAAAAAAAACGCAGCTACTATTTGGTGCTTAAGTATTGTACAGAAGTGCTTAACATGCATAAGATAAAGTGTTTCAGAAAAGCTTAAAAGGTGTTTAACATAAGATACCTCTAAAGTGTTGTGGACGTCTTTTCCTGTATGTTAGACCAACATCAACATCAACCTTATGGCTCAGTGGATTTTCAACGTGTTCATCTCACCATTTCCCAATCCATCTGATTTTTAAACATCTTTGCACTTCTATTCAAGCTAGGCTGCAGGAAAAAAACTATTAGAAGTCATAAACTGAAATGCCTCCATAGCTGGGCTTGAATTAATATATATAGATTGATTCAATCATACAATCTAGGAGGTTAACTATAACAACAGTTCTATATTATGCATAAACGATCCAGGAGTGCATGCCAACAGTTAAATATAACTCTCATATTTGAAGACTATATTTTTTTCTTGTTAAAGACATTTAAATTGCAATCATTTTTGTAGTTGATATACAGAGCAAGTTTGCTATGTGTGTGTGTGTGTGTGTGTGTCAAATCTGTCAAACTCCAAATTAAATGGAAGTTTCAGGAACTGCCTATGGTCAGTCCTATCTTATATGCATCGTGGATTGGCTGGATATTATTTCTCATTCCATTATTACAATCAGGGCACGCGCAGCGGTTATTATACTAATTATACCATTACTATATTACGTGATATGCACAAATGGATTAGGCGGGAACGGGTTTTTGATAGACGATTTCATTTATAGATATAGATATAGATATTTTTTAATAATAGTTAGAGTTAATACATATTGATCATACAACCAGCCAAAAGATATGTATTGATCGTATTTATAATCTCCTAGTGGGATGTGACACTTATTTTGGAACAATCCGAAAAGGAAAGTAGGACAGGTCAATGAGACGGAGGGAGTAATAAATAAGTTGTTCCCAACAAATCTTAATTGTTCATTAACTATAAGAGATTTACTCCGTATTATATAACAAAACCATACAAAGGGAGGGACGTATATGGCCAAAACTTGTCGTGAGCATAAACATGTACGTAGTATCAACAATAACCTGAACTGGACAACCGTCAGCAAAGACTCCCACAAGATGACAACATTTGGAGTCCATACCTACAAACATAAAAAAAAAAAATACAAACTTTCACGTTAGAATCCCAAATCTGAAAATTAAAGAGAGAAGATGGGTCAATAGGCCTTGGCTCGAAATAAATAACTTGTAGAGCCAAATATAAAAACTGTGCTTTTACCATTAGAATAATGTAAATCCAAATGTAAGACCAGAAGGACCAGAAAAGTTCCAAAATCCAGACCCCCAGATCCGATATCTTTTTCAATTGTTCACCGGCTTTAGGCACCACTACACAAACCACGTGTATAGGGAACAGATTAGCGTTCTTCAAACTCAAGTACAAAAACCGTTTTATCCTTTCCTTATTAGATCTTACTTATCATGCCATAAGGCTTGGAATGCAACATCATGCAAATTTATGTCTTCCTTCTCCAATTGGTCACACAGGTCGAAAGCCATATTCAATTGTCCAAGCCTCTTGTATGCACGGATCAAGATAGTGTATGTCACGACATCAGGAGGTACATTCTTCCTTCTCATCTCTTCTAGTACCATATTGGCCATATCAATACGACCAACACTGCAATACCCATCTATAAGGCATGTATAAGTAACAACAGAAGGCAAGACTTCCGCAAGTGTCATTTCATTAAACAATTTCAGTGCTCTGTTCATATCTCCAACTCTACAAAATCCAGCTATGACAGATGTATATGAGACGTTATCAGGATTCAACCCTTGAAAGGGTATTTCCCTAAACAGTTTGTAGGCTTCAGTTAACTTTCCCATTTTGCAAAATATATTAATGAGAATGGTATAGAGAGTTGTATCTGGAGTAACCCCAAGTTTTAACATTCTTGTGTACAACAGCAAGGCCTTCTTGATATTAAACTGTTTCGCAAAACCGTTAATAAGAGTGCTATAGTTTACAACACCGGGCAATACATTCATCTTAAGCATCATCGGAATTACTTCTAGTGCCTTCTCTGTATTTCCATCACTACACAAGCTACTAATAATGTAGTTGAAGGTAAATATATCAGGGTAACGGCCTTTTTTTATCATTGCTCTGAGAAGCTCCAAGGCTTCACGGGCGGAACCCATCTTGCAAAATGAATGGATCAAGTTGTTATAATTTAAAGCACTAGGAATCATATTATTACTGATCATCTTCTCCAAGAACTTGTGAGCATAGAACAAATCACCCTGCAAGCAAAACCCGTTTATTAAGATGTTGTAAGTAACCTGGTCATGCTTATAGCCATACTCCTCTATCTTATAAAACAGGTCAAGTGAGAATTCCATGGGTACACTTCTGCAAAGACCATTCAACAGTGAGCTATAGGTAACCAAGGATGGTTTTATGTTGATAGCTTCCATCTCCATTAGTAAAGAAAGACTTTTCTCAGCATTCCCACATATAGAAAACCCATCAATCAATATACTATAGCTGTATAAATCTGGTAGAACTCCACTAGCCTTCATTTCTTCAAAAAGATTCATGGCTTCAATGGTTTCACCATTTGCACAAAATCCATGCATAACGGCATTATAGCAATAAGAGTTTATGAATTCGTTGCTATGCCTCATGTTTCGAAGATAATCCAAAGCAAAGTGAACACATCCAGCTCTACAAAGTCCATGGATATAAACACTGTGTGTTACAACAGATGGATTAATCCCTCTAGTAACCATTTCCATCATAAAATATGTGGCTTTTTCTAAATCCATCTTATGTTGAGTGTGATTCTTACAACAATAGAAGTTCACCATAATTGTATATGTATAAACATTGGGTGATGGTCCAAATTGCCTCATCTCTTCAAATAGTGTTTGAAGAAGTTCTTTCCTCCTTGCTTCTGCCAAACATTTCAGTAAGAAATTGCATGAACAATTACTTAATCTATAACCAAATTTCTTAGCCTGGAAATATGCATCTATACCATCTTCAAACAACTTATTTGCAGCAAAAATCTTGATAAGAACATCAACAACCAAAGCTGATATTTTTGAATCATCGGGTGAAATAAGCAAAAGTGGAAATATCTTAACTAAATCATACTCAGTCTTCGGGAAATTGAAAACAATATCTTTGAGCAATGCATACATTTCCATCTGCATTCCAACTTGTGCAAAAATATGCACACACATCATGAAGGCATTGATTGATTGCAAAAGGCCATGCATTTCAATTGATATACTGAATCTAATTTCTCTAGCTACCTCCCACCCCAATGATTTGTACACTCTCACAACAACTGAGCAAAGTTCTGGTGAGTAGCACATATACAATCTCTTCCTCGGAATAGTTGGAACAAATGGTTCAAATCCACATCTGTCATCACCACTTGAACATGAGTCGGAATCTTCGAACAACAAAGCAGATGAGACACTCCCAAAATTTCGACAATACCCACTTTCTGCTGTGAATGTACTCCCAAAAAATCCTGATTTTACGAAACCCGTGAACGTGGAAAGGCTACATGATTTTCTTGACAATGGAAACCGACCCATAAAGCAAAACCTTGAACAATAGAGTAATTGTTGTTATTGCCCAACATCTGCACTCTTGAAATACATGCAATAGGAATCAGATGTCAACAAATAAATAATATGGTTGCGCAACAACCAAAGACACATTTTTAACAGTGTTCTTTCCAAAAAAACATCATACCATTTGTAGCTTCCAACCTCAAATGGATTACTCTGAAGTTCTCTTTTTTTAATTTTTGATAACTTGTCAATCTTCCATGTGGTCTCTCCAAGCAGCTTAGAACAAAATGGATCTGATATGCTAAGTATCTTTAATTTTAAAACAGAACCTGTTATAAATTCATAAAGCATAATGTAGCCATGAAATAGTGGTCTCCCGACTTATACATTTGAAACATTAGACCTTCAATAGTGGAGTTTCAACAACCCAAATCCGAACTATTCGAACATAAATTCATATAGGAAATAAGGATAATTAAAGAAAACAAATATGGATTGATAACTTACTATGAACTTGACATGACAATTGTGTCACAAAAAGAGAGACCAGTGGCTGCTGCTCAACAGTTAATAGTCGGAAGAGGTAGGTGGGTCACACACGGCTGATGTTGTAGGAGAAGACTGGTGGATTTTGTCTTAGTCCAGTGATTAGGGTGACGGGTAGGGGGTGACAGCAGAGGCAAATCTAGCATTTCAATTGAGGAGGGGCAAAAAAAAGTAAGTTTGAATTCCGTTTGAGCATAGCAATAGAACTTCTACTGTAGTTTAAAATATGTATGTTTGAATTATTAATATTAGCAGAACAGTGGGGAAGAAAATTTTGGGACTAAGCTAGTAATTTAGGAAAATGTCAAGTCGTTCAAGGCATAAATTATCAATTAATAACTTGATGCAGTGTCGTCAAATTCAAATTTCAAAATATTGTAGTGAAGCTAACTACAGAATCACAAAGCGAAAAATAAGGTTCTGTATAAAATCAAAGCTAGATATATAGTCATGCTTAAGCTCAAAATATATCTTCACCGGGAGCAAAAATAAAGTAGCAGAATATTTACATATAGAATAGGATAAAAAAAACACAAATTCCTAACAATTAATTGTAGAAAGAAAAGCTACTCAATAAATTAATAACCACAGCTCCTATTGCCAATTGCGATTAAGTTGTGGCTTGTGAAATTCTTTTTTTCTATCAAAGTCAAGAGTCTGCGGGCGGGCGGAAGCAGGTGCAGGGAGTGAGGGATCAGCGGTAGCCGGTGAGTGGGTCGTAGCAGTGCGCCGGTGCAGCGTGCAGTAGTCGGCTCGTTGGCTGATGACGTCTTCTCGGTCGATGGAGAGGAACAAGATTGCCGGTTGCTGGTCTGCTATATTGCCAGAGATTCGGTTCTGGTCGTTGTGGGCCAACAGGGGCGGCCCCATATATTTGAAGGCTGGGACCAACAATTTAAAATGGGCCTAATTTAAAAAAAAATGTAAAGCACGTTTCTACCTAAATTTACCTGCAAAATAATAATATGTGAATACCTTTGTAATTGTTGGAATATAATTCCAGCAAGAAAGCTTAATCTATTCATTGATCTCGGAAAAACTAAGAAGAGTATTATTAGTCGGGAAAAGCCCCCCTAAACTGAATTACAACTTGCCTTTTATAGGCGTATACAAATCGTAACCGCTATCGATAATAATGTCTAATTAATTAAATCATTAATACGAAATTAAATACATAATTAATGTAACACCGTCCCCAAATATATTTACTTTCATGTAAATAATAATGTATTGAACCTTATTAAAGGATTAACGAATTTACGAAGTTGTAAATTTTTATTATTTCTTTCGCGTGAATAGTAAATTGCACGTGGGACCCACACCGGGAGCGGGGGGCCACCCGATATTCCCGAGATCACATAAATCATTCTTATGGGTCGAAATAATATTTATATAGTGGTGGATATTTTATTTGGGTCGTGAAAAGGCCCAGAGTTGACCGATTGGGCAAAAGAGGCCCAAATACCGGTACCGACAATTTAACAGATAACAGCCCAAAAATGAATTTCGGAGACTTCTAAATTAATGTTTTGGAATACATATTATTTCAAAAGGCCATTATAATTGAGAACACGTAATATATTTTATTGGACCCGATAAAATAAAATATATTTAAAACAGTCCGAAAAATACAACTTTCGGGACCGATTGTACACTTCGGGACAAAAATGGTTGACCTCCCACATGAGTGGGGGCCAACCCACGAATTTGGACACTCAAAGGGGGTGTTGGCCGGCTGGTGGGATAGGAAATAGGGGGAGGGGATTGTGATATGAAGGAAATGGCATCAAAGGTACCTAAAGTGGACCCCATTCTACACTCATTGGATTAATGAGACAAAAGCTCATCCCCATCCCTCTCTCCCCTCATTTTCTCGGCCAAGCTACAGCAAACAAGGGCAAGGAACTCTTCTTCTTCCTTCCACCATTGTTGAAGAGAGCACATCAAGGAAGAATCACCCAAGAAGAAGCTAAAATGCTAAAAGTGTGAAATAATTAAGGTAATGACTTTATTAGAACTTCCTCTCTATTTTTCTTCTACCATATGAGATATATATCATGTGAAGAATCCTTAAGAGGGTTCTACATGTTATAAGTATGGATTAATGGGTTGGAAAGTGATTCTATGTCCAAGAACGGACATAGAAGCCAAAACGACCGGTTCACCGGAAAATAACCTTTTATAGGTTATTTGTATTGATTAAGGTTTTATGATGTTAAAACCTTGTTAGGCACTTGTAAAGGGTATTTCAAGTGATTTCACAAAGTTGGAAAAGTTGCCGGAGTTGTCGCCGGAGTTGACCAAAAGTCGCCGGAGTTTCACCGGAGTTCAACCAAGAAGGGTAGAACTTCATACGCTAGTTCAAGGTGAGTGGACGGCTTAATATCTTATAACTTTTGGGTTAATTATGAGATTACCTAAATAAATGTTATATGAGTTCATAATGATGGTTAAAAGATATTTAAACATGTGATTATCCAATAGGGTTAAGTTTGTATGAAAGAAATAAATTGTTTATGCATGAAATATGATATGAGGAATTATATAAAATGCATATTTGTTTGAAGTGTATAAGAAGCACCAATGAATATTATCAACTTAATTACACGATGATTAAGTTGATAAGTGTAAGACTTGAAATGGCGGTCAACGAAAACGTTGACCGATGGACAAAGGATTTAATTAATACCGGTTGGTATTAATTAATTATGAATCTATATGAATGCATGGTTTTGCATGGATTGTGATACATAAGCTTTATGTATTGAATTAGTTATGAGTAACTAAGTATGATATAGACTCTATCTAGGTTGATAGGAGGTTGATCATAGGAAAACTTGGTGGAGGACCCTAGTACTTAAAAAGTACTTAACACTCAAAACTTGGTGGAGGACCCTAGTACTTAAAAAGTACTTAACACTCAAAACTTGGTGGAGGACCCTAGTACTTAAAAAGTACTTAACACTCAAAACTTGGTGGAGGACCCTAGTACTTAAAAAGTACTTAACACTCAAAACTTGGTGGAGGACCCTAGTACTTAAAAAGTACTTAACACTCAAAACTTGATGGAGGACCCTAGTACTTAAAAGTACTTAACACTCAAACTTGGTGGAGGACCCTAGTACTTAAAAAGTACTTAACACTCAAAACTTGGTGGAGGACCCTAGTACTTAAAAAGTACTTAACACTCAAAACTTGGTGGAGGACCCTAGTACTTAAAAAGTACTTAACACTCAAAACTTGGTGGAGGACCCTAGGACTTATGAGGCCTTAACACTCACAAACCGGTGGAGTATCCAAGGATTATGATCCTAAAACTCATAGATTATGATATACAAATAGGGACAAGGAGGAGTCCTATACACTCATAGGTATATGGGTGGGTTGGGGTTTTTAGTCAAGAATATTGACTATTACTATTTTTCCCAAATAAAATGGTGATCTACGGATCGGATATTTTCCAAGTATATATGTATATACTAATAAGTATTTCATAACTTGGGGGAAAGACTATTTATTTAAGTATCACCCTATGTTTGGGTCTTATACTTGAAACGCTAGTTATTCTATATTTAGCCTGCTACTTGCTCGGTACTTGTACTGACCCCTTCGGGGGGGCCACCATTTTCAGGTTGAAGCTAGGGCTTGCTACTTGCACCTTCTCACGGGTGATATCATATCGGGAAGACGTGGTTCGTGCTTCCTTATTTTCTTTCAAACTACCAAACACTTGCTCATGGATATTTGTTTTACTATAAACTATTTTTGGGGCTTGCATGCCCATGTTGTTGGCCGGTTGTGGCTCATGACTTACCGTTGAATATTTCCGCTATTCATTGGTTTAAATGTGATGTTGTTATGTATGTTTACTACTGAGTATGGATGGATTGTTTTCTCGAATGCCTTGTGTAATTAAGTGAGGTTGACTCGTGGGTGACGTCACTTAGTTATACGGCGGTTGTGCACGCGCTTTGATCGCGGTCTGGGGCGTGACAATTAAACAACGCATTAATTGCTTGACCGTTACTTTTCCCAGCTGGCAAGTCGGGCGGACTGACAGGCTCCCCGCTGAACTGGTAGATAGGCTCCAGGTTGTGGACTTGGATCCACGGGTCCAAGTTTGGGGCTTGGGCCGATTAGGCTCTGGGCCTAGTGCTATTACTCCATCACGAGTCCCCCACTCCCTTAGTCGAGTAGTAAACTCGGGTAAGAGGGAGTAGTCCAAGTCAGTTGCTCTTCTTCGAGACTGGAAGATTCCCGCCCTTGTCCATGTCGGGGAGATGCCTCATTAAAAACCTTCATTAGGAAAAAAACCAATGGGAAAAATTCCCAATGAAGGGAAAAAGAGTACACCTGACGCCCCCCAAGATGAAGTAAGAGGTGAAATCCTCAGCCTTTATTGCAATGCTCGCCATCTGTGAAGAGGATGACTAGAACCGTTCTTCTCGTCGGGCTTGAACTCATCAGGCTACTCCTCGTTCAGTCGTACCTACACATAAAAGCAACAGGTGTATAATAGAGCATTTGGTCTGGTGTTGATCGAACCACGACTCAGTGAGTGAGTGAGTCGGACTCACTACCTAAAAGGAGTGACATCAAATTCCCAAGTTAGGCCTCAACCCAGTCTCTGAAAGGAAGATTGAATCCGCAAGTAAGTGACTCGGAGTCACCATTCGAACGGATAATCCAACCCCACAGAACTAAAGTATATCGACCTTTTCGGGAAATGTGAATGTCAATTAAGTGAGTGAGTGAGTCGGACTCACTACTTGAAAAGAGTAACATCAATTTCCCAAGTTAGGCCTCAACCCAGTCTCCGAAAGGAAGATTGAATCCGCGAGTAAGTGACTCGGAGTCACCATTCGAACGGATAATCCAACCCCACAGAACTAAAGTATATCGACCTTTTCGGGAAATGTGAATGTCAATTAAGTGACAAAATTGCTTGAAAGAGCATGGCTCTAGGCCCCTAAAAAGAGTTTAACTCGCCGCCCGGGGTTAGTAGTTCGAACCCGCAAATGAAGACTTTGAACGGGCGACTCGTCCCCCGAGGTCGGAGTGTGATGCACTAGGAAGGGGTAAGAGCACGCAAGAACTCGTATGAAATCAAGAGTGTGCGCGAGTGGTATTAACATTTATATTGGAGCTTATTAATCGCCACACCCATATGACATGATCCGGTGGCGCGAGTGTGTGTGCTCGGCCATTGTACGAGTGTGTGTGCTCGTCCGGTGTACGTGAGTGATCGGATTTCATAAGTCCGTTTTCAATGTTAAAATTACACACATTTGAAAAGAGTAAAACCAATTATACCACTTAATTTATCTTTTCAATTGATTCAATTTATGATTTTTTTTATTGAATCATTTTATATTTTTTTTGATCAAATATTGTCACATACAAATTGTACGGATGGAGTTTTGAATACTTAGCTTTTGGCATGGGTTGAAATTGGGTTGATGGAATTGTGACCCATCATCGTGAGGATTAATTTTGGGCTTGATGCAGTCTTTGCATCCTACTCATTCTTCCGAGCTCCCGCTAGGCCTGGAAAGAAGGCAGCCTACCGCTATGTCCTGACTCCGGAGAGAATGGGAGATCCGGATCAGAAGGGAGCCATCGCCGTTGGGAGCCTTCACCACTCAGAAACTCGGAAACCGTCTCCCTGGGTGCTGTCTCCCTGGAAGTCTTCCCCAACCTGTCTTGCCGGCCAGAGTTTATTCGCTATCTTGCACCGCCGAGTGTGGCTGTAACACTTGAGATTTAATATAAACGGATTAATAGTACTAAACATACCAACAAGATGCATCTCCGTTTAAGGGAGCTCATCCCC